TTTCTTTTAGATCACTAAAACTGTCAGACGAAAGACAAGGCATGTGTGTGTGTGTGTGTGTGTGTGTGTGTGTGTGTGTGTGTGTGTGTGTGTGTATGTGTGTGTGTGTGTAGGTGTGGATGTCCATGTGCATACACTCAGAGGCTAGAACAGGGCCTCAGGTGTCCTCACCTGCCATTCTCCTCCTCATTGCTTTCAGATAGGCTCCCTCATTGGATCAGAAATCCGCCATTTTAGCTAGACGTGGCTGGCCAGCGAGCTCTGGGGATCTTCCTGTCTCTCTGCCTTCCAGTCTGAGGTTACAGGCATGCACAGCTTTCTATGTGAGTGCTGGGGATTTGAACTCAGGTCCTCAGGTATGCAGAACCAGTGTCCTTGCCCACCAAGCCATCTCCCCAGCCCCAGCTCTAACAAAGTATGTATGTATGTATATATATATATATATATATATATATGTAAATATATATATATTTAGGTTTTACATTTTTCAGAGACAAGACATCTTTTAGAAAGATTTCATCAGACTTAGTATGTGACTTTGCTTCCCAACACTTTGATTGATCACCTTTGAAGAAACATCTGTCAGCTCGATGGGTGACATGTGTGAAATTGACTTTATAATTTAATTACTGAGTTTGCCTCCTCTCTGTGACAACATTTGCCCTTTGCAACTCTCCTGAGTGTTTGCCCTGTGCTTGCACTAGCCAGGTATTTTGCTTACGTTATTCCCTTTCATCCCCACAAACCACTTGGTTTTTGTTTTGTGTGTGAAGTACATTCTGGCAGGGAATGAGGTAAGTAACTTGCTTCAGACCACACAACTGGTAAACGATCAGACTAGACTTCATAACTGGATCTGCGGGACTCTAAAGCAGAGATTAAAAAATAAAAGAAGAGGAAGGAGGGAGGGAGAAAGAGAGAGACAGAAAGATCCTCATTTAGAGGGGCTATTCTCTAGGTCCCAGCTGAATCAGCTGGGAACCAATAGCAAAGATCATTCTCCCAAGACAACTCAAGGAACCAGACATGGAGTTGTGAGGAGGTGAGGGACCACCCAAGCTCCAACAGATCATAGGAAGCCAATGTCTTCCTAGACCCAAAAGGGCAGGATGAACGTTACCCTTGGTAACCCGGAGAGATATATAGCCATAGGAAGTGATGGCTACACGACCATATATAGACAGTCACAGCCCTTGCCAAACCCCAGACCAACCTGCAACACCATCATCTCCAGTTCTACCTGCCATTGGCCGCTTCCAACTAGAAGGCCAAAGAAAGAAAAGGCTGGGACCATCATCCATGGAAATCTGGGACATACAAGAAGGGGAAAAGGTTAGTGCATGGACTTACAGGGGCCATCAGGAACAGAACCATCCTGCACCAACTTCTGACACACTTCAAACCCAGATGCAGCATGGTTAAGGTTGCTATCAGGTTAAACACAGCCATAGGTAAAGGACCCAATACAGTTCCCTCTTCACACACACACACACACACACACACACACACACACACACACTCTATATTTGAGTGCTATGTGTTGTCAACAGAGGGAAGAATGAGCAGAATTTTCAGGAAAGAGTCCACACATGTGTTTGTGTGTACATATAAACATGTACACACATGCATGTATACATATGTGAGTATATATGTGCATGTATATATGTGTGCGTATATGTGTGTATACACACACACACACACACACACACACACACACACACATACACATACATATGTATGGACTCTTTCCTGAAAATTCTTCCCATTCCTTCTTCCACTGACAATTCTCAGCACTCAAATGACTGGCTAGGGAACAAGAACAAGATACAAAGACAAAGGCTTTAAGAAAAACTCGTTCTCCTGCTTGGACACACATCTGGGTACATTTTTCATGCCTCGAGGTGTGGCTGTGCAGCTGTGGTCCAGCTGGTGAAATGTGAGCAGGAGTGATGCAGGCCTGGCCCTGAACCCCTGGCGTGGATGCGCCCAAACTGTGCCATCGGCCAGCGGCATGCCAAGGGAACACTGTCCAACCAGAAGGTATGTGGCTGCCAGAGCCCCTGTTTGGAGAAGGGCAGAAGCCCTGCCTGTGTGTGTAAAAGTGGAGTCCCCTGCACTTCCAGCCCCTCCCACACTTGGATGTTTCTGGGGATGTGAGAGAGCAGTGGACAAGGTTAATCCGTCCACAGATTAAAGCTTTGGAGTAGCAGATAGCGTTATCTTCATTGATGGGAAGAACACAAAAAAAGGAGGCAACTCTCGAGGGTCAGACCGAGCCTGTGGAAAAAAAACAAGGCATGAGGTCTCACCTGAAGGAGCCTTCCTTGTACCTCTGTCTAAGGCTGCATTCCTTTCCCAATTAGAAACTACGATTGGCTTTTTTTTTTTTTTTTTTTTTTTTTTTTTTTTTTTT